TGTGTGTGTGTGTGTGTGTGTGTGTGTGTGTGTGTGTGTGTGTGTGTGTGTGTGTGTGTGTTTGTGTGTGTGTGTGTGTGTGTTTTTGTTTGTGTGTGTGTGTGTGTGTGTGTGTGTGTGTGTGTGTGTGTGTGTGTGTGTGTGTGTGTGTGTGTGTGTGTGTGTGTGTGTGTGTGTGTGTGTGTGTGTGTGTGTGTGTGTGTGTGTGTGTGTGTGTGTGTGTGTGTGTGTGTGGGGTGTGTGTGTGTGTGTGTGTGTGTGTGTGTGTGTGTGTGTGTGTGTGTGTGTGTGTGTGTGTGTGTGTGTGTGTGTGTGTGTGTGTGTGTGTGTGTGTGTGTGTGTTATTGTGTGTGTGTGTGTGTGTGTGTGTGTGTGTGTGTGTGTGTGTGTGTGTGTGTGTGTGTGTGTGTGTGTGTGTGTGTGTGTGTGTGTGTGTGTGTGTGTGTGTGTGTGTGTGTGTGTGTGTGTGTGTGTGTGTGTTTTGTGTGTTTTTGTGCGGGGGTGTGCGTGTGTGCGTGTGTGCGTGTGTGCGTGTGTGCGTGTGTGCGTGTGCGCACAAGCTCACACCATCAATGATGGATAGTTTGGTGTTGTGCAGAATTTGCTGCAGTGCTTTGCCTTTTCTTGAGTGTGCTTACGGAACTGACAAAATTCTGGTCTGCCCGCAAGCGCTGTGCCATCGCCTGGATTGGGCCAACTCCAGGGGCGTCTCCTGCCGGGTGCCACTGGACGGTCTCTATCCGCAAAGACTTGGACCTCTCCCTCTGGCAAAGTGAGAGTGGTGCTCTGGTGAAAACCCAAGATGTCCCTTGGCACCCTGGAAATGCTGGGAATGATTCCCTGAGAATCTGACAGTGAATACGGTAAACATCACAACATACATGGCTGTATCTGCACTTTCAAGCCAAAGTGTCGAGTGTCCCTCGTGGTTTCATGGGAACACTTGACCCCTGGCTGACAATGGCAGGATCGCTTTGGGCAAAAAACAACGTATTCATCAATCGGACGCTTCGCCTGCTCCAGCCGTGTGCGGCGCCGATGCAGCGACGCGGGCACCTTTGGCCTGAGCTGCACGGGCAGTGCACAACAGGTGGGGGGGGAGGGGAGGGGGGGCTGGACACAGCAAATCCAATGCTGTTCAATAGAATGTTGGCCAACTCACTGGCTTTTACGGTATCATGTCACTCACCCACCAACCAAACAGCTGGCATAGATGAAATCAACCGCAAACCATCTGAAGACTTGTCAATCTTAAACTGTGGTTCCCCGAACAGTGCTCCATCACGGCTGAACTTTAGATCCTTGAAGGCAACTGCGTGCTGCTGGGTCTTTCGGATAGCCTGCTGCTTGAGCTGATGTTCTCACCTCTTTGCTGCAAGTGCAATTTGCAAACCTTACGAAACTGCCTTCGTGTAGCTGGTCCTGCCATTTTTGAGCGGCTTCGAATCATGCACGGGTTCGTTCTAACCGTCATAAAGTAACAATATCCATCCCGACTCAAAGCCGTCCGGTGGTTTGCAGCAATCCGAGCAGTTTTGCCCGGAGATCAACAGATCTTCGGGGTCATGCTAGTCCGACATAAGCGGGCAGTTTTCTTCTGCTGCACATTGCAATTCAGCCATGCCTTTTTCGGGGTGAACCGATCATAGCTACAAAGTGGGTGTGCTGATCATTTGCCGTGGTGCAAGAAATGCACAATGCCTGTGAAAGACACGGGTCGACCTGTGCCAACTGTGCCAGGCTGCGGCGACGGGTCTGCGCGATGATGCAGCAGCGCTCGGCAAATGTCGACATCGCCATGCAGCGCTGCCCAGTGAAGGGCTGTCCTTGAGATGGTCTCTGGACTGACCCCCTTGATTAGGCCTCAGAACCTCGATTGAAATATGAAATATGCCTGCATGGTTTCCTTACACATGCCCACAAACAAACAAAGGAACGACCAACAACAAACAAACAAGACAAAACAGAACGAACAAACAAACAAACAAGCAAGCAAGCAAGCAAGCAAGCAATCAAGCAAGCAAGAAACAAACGAAGCACAGCAACAAAGAAGCGCAGAATCATGGCAATCACGACTCAAATATCGAATAAACAAACACGCAAACAATGATAATATAATGCACAGTACTCAGCATGTTGCAAATTCCGGGGCCTCAAAATCAATCTGCCCGGTTCAAGTGCGTTTCGAATTTCACATTGCTGCTGATGTTTGCTTCTCAACAGCCATAGGGGCAATGAATGCCAAGTCACCGATGCTACGAGTAAAACTGAAAGCAGAATGCAATTGGAATCCAATCAGGAAAGCTTTGGAATTGGAAAAAGAGAAGATGCAATGCAATTGCAATCCAATTCAAGAATAGCATTTTGTCAGCTTGCAAGAGACGTGCATGCTTCGCCTTCGCCAACAACATTGCTGACACCAACACATTCGCGCAGATCCGGGCCAGCCTTGTCTTCCGACCTCACCACACCCATCCGAACCGAGTGTCCGCAGCTGTCGGTCCCGGCAGTTCACCTCGGCCTTCGCTTCCGCAGCAAGCTGCACGGCAGCCACCTACATGCGCTGAATCTCCAAAGTGGCCTTGGTTTTCCTTGCGCTTTCCTTCTCAAGAAACAAGGTGTCTTCTTTTGGTGGTACTTTTTTTTGGGAATTTTAAAGGGAAACCTGTGGAAAATCACCATTTTGGGGGGTCCCTAGAACAAAACACACCCAATATGTCCACTGCCCGAGTGCCTCCCCGGACCGCGCCGCATAGTGCAGCAGCGACTGCCTCCCCCGGTCCCGGACCCGCGGCGGGGTACCCAGCTCCAGCAGGGCCGCCAGCGCCTTCGCGTTGCCCGCGGCGGCGGCCCCATGGGCCGCCACCGCCCCAGCATCCGTGCAATGCCTTGGCCAAACACCGTGCATCTCATGTAGCTGTGATAGGAGCAGTATCTCGCAGAAGAAAGGCAACATCGAGCATTCGACAGTTGACATGGAGTACTACAAGACAGAAAATAGAACTAAAGAAACAAACATCCAAGCCCAGCTGCAGCACATTGGCACGATGCCTCACCAGCAACCGCACCAGGCTGTCGCTGCATCGGGACGCTGCCCAGTGCAAGGGTCCCGGCCCAGACTGAGACAGGCTGCAGCCTGCCCACAGCAGAGCCCGGGCTAGCGTCTCCCGCCCTGCACGGATCGCAGTCTCCAGGGCGCGTGGCAACGGCGACAGCTCTATCTCGGGTGCGCCCGCGTGCTCTGCGTTCTCCCGGGTCGCCTTTGCAGTCTCCGCAGTCTCTGCAACGCGCACGCCGCAGCCTACGAGGAACTGTGCGTAGTGCCGAAGCACGGGCCGCTCCAGAAGCGCACAAGGTGCAAAGGGGCCGCCATCGCAAAGCCCGAAGTGGCACTCGGCGTCTCCGGCTCGCTCTGGAGGAAGGAACAGCGCAGCATCCCCCGCTGGGTCCCGCCAATCACTAGCACCCTCTGCCCACCTCGGCTTGCCGCCTCCGCCTCCATGAAGAACCGCTCGCAGCACCCGAGTGACCCGCACTGCCTGGACACTTCCGCCTCCCAGGCTGTAGAAATCAGAGTCCGCCCCCAGGCCATCCGGGAGCGACAGCTCCGAGGCCCAGGCGATCGCCACTGCTTCTTCCAGCTCGGTCAGGGGCTCATGGGAGGCTCGCGCTGACGGTCCTGGCGGGGGGACTGTGGGCAAAGCAGCGCGATTCACCTTGCCGTTGGCAGTGAGTGGCAGGGCATCTGCGGCCACGAAGAGCCGAGGTCGCATGATCCGGGGCAGGTGCCGGTCGCAATGGGCAGCGAGCGCCAAAGCCACCAGGCCGTCCATCTCCTCGCCATCCAGCACCACATGAGCCAGCAGAGCGCCGCCCCATGGCACAGCAACGCACTGCGCCACCAAAGGACACGTGCCTAGCAACTGCTCGACCTCACCCAGCTCGATCCGCTCCCCGTTCAGCTTCACCTGCAGGTCTCGCCGACCCAGCACCTGAGCACAGTCTCTGGCAAAACCAGAAGCTTCCAGTCATTCTTATATATTCTTAGGCTTTCCACCACTCTCAGCTTTCGCCAAGCCCTGGCCTCTAGCACTCGCACTTCTCCCGCCCGCGCCCAGCGCCCGCAGTCCCCGGTGGCAAAGCGCCCGCCGAACGGCCCGGCGCCCAAGTAGCCCCGAGCCACCCCCGGACCGCCGAGGACCACCTCCGCTGCCTTCGATTCAACTCATTGCCAAGCACGCGCCATGCTCGAAATGCAAACTTGACAAGTATCACAGACGTAGGCGCAGCAGCCTACATCCACTGTGAAAGCTGCAAAAAGCAAGATTGTGGAGGCAGAGTTAGCATAGAGTAGGAAGATCAATAATAAAGCTGAAAGTGATGGATGAAAAAAGTCAAGCATGTAGCCAACTTCGGATGGCCCATCACACTAATCAAAGGACTCCCCTCAAATGAAGCTTCCCTATCAAAAGGGTAACCACCCCCAGATTAAGTTTGTTTCTCTGGATTAATGACTAAACCAAAATTATGGTTTATTATGTTCTTTTCATGTGGCACGGTCAATCATACTGGTGCCATCAGGTTAAGGCTTGACATTTGCAATCCTTCCTACGAATCATAAAAGCGGCTACTGGCAGTACCAATGAACAACAAATGGCATAAAGTGTGGCTTCTTGGAATCAGTCTTGCGCACAGGAGGGCAAAATGTGTGGAACGACTTTCGCTGACAAGAAAGCAAACAACAACAATTCCGCCTATTTGGGGAGTCCTGTGAGAACCCCCTCCCCCCTGCTCACAGCTTCCATCGGGTTGCGTCTTCCCCGGGCCAGGGTCGCAGGCATACGCGTACACCGGGCAGGGGTCGGCCAGCGGTGTGGGGCGGGGTGGATGCCAACATCGGCATGACTGTCTGGTAGACGGTGGCCTCGTGAGAATGTGCAACACAGACGCCTAGCCTATGCTGCAAACCAGGACTTCACAAGAGTGAGCAGCACGCAGTGCCTGGGGTTATGCGGATCGTAGGGGCAATGGGCCCACATAAGATTGATTGCTCAGGGGCGAGTCAATGGCACGAAATTTTGGCGCCTGTGGCGGGCGAGCGCAGTGCGATTGCCACCACGCAAGTTGCGACAAACTGGGGCAGTTCCCTCTGCCAAGCCCGCCTCAGTGACCCCGTAGACGTTCCTCAGCTCCACATTCGGGGCCCAGCGCTCCACCAACTTCGGCGGCATCTTCTCCCCCCCCAGAGAGAGACACCTCAGGGTCGTGTCTCTTCCGACTTCCCTTGCGTCCCTCGAATGGCATGCTCCCCCCCCGTCAAACCCCTTTCAGCGCTCCTGAGCCGAGGAAACTGCTCCGGCTCAGCGTCC